CCCTAGGGAGTCTGCCTTTTTCCCCCCACACAGGAATTTCAGTCGGGCCCAGTTTCTTTTTTCGGAATCTCTAGGCGGCAGTGAGAGCTCCATCAGTCAGTTAGAGCTTGGTCGCTTCTTCATGGCCGAGTTGTGGAGGCTGGCGCAGCTGGTGCCCCTCGAGGAGGGGGGCTTCGCGCCCGCGGGCACGCGGCTCGTCGACCCCGACGAGCTGTCCGACGACGGCGTGGACGAGCCGTGCGACTGCAGCAGCAGCGCGAGCGGCGGCGTAAACGGGGGCCAGGGAGAGGCTTGCGCTGGGGTCGCCGCTGCAGATCCGCCAGCCTCCGCATGCCCCGCAGCAGCAGACGCCCGCAGCACCGGGCCTGAGCCGGAGCCGTCCTCATCGCCGCCGCCGCTCGAGGGCGCCGAGGCGGCGGCAGAGGAGGCGGAGGCGGCCGCGGCGGCGGCGGAGGCGGCGGCGGAGGAGGCCGAGGCGCCGCCGCCTCCCGAGCCCGAGACGGACGAGGAGCGGTACATGCGCAGCATCCGCAGCGTCGACTGGCCGGCGATGAAGCAGCAGCTGGTGGCGGGCATGTGCGCGGCGTGCCGCGAACTCGCTGACGACTTGACGAACCCTGGCCGGCGGTGCCCCAAGCACGCGCTCGCGGCGGCGGCGGCGGCGGCCGAGGCGGACGATCCCGAGGTGGCGCCCAAGGTCGGCCGCCGCCCGAGCCGGAGAGACGGCGCGTCGGCGCAGGCGTTTGCAGAGGCGGCGCACGACGCAGCGGCGCTCGACGGCGATGGCGCGCCGCCGCAGGCGGTGCAGGCGCCGCCGCAGGCGCCGCCGCAGCTGCACGGCTGGCGGGCGGAGTGGGCCGAGCTGCGCGCCGAGCAGCTCCGCCTGACGGGCGCGCCTCGCTCCCTCCGCCCGGCAGTTGCCTCCCCGGCGCGGGACGCGGGCTCGCCTGAGCCGCCGCCGCCCCTGCTGCCAGGCGCTCCTCATCTGGCGACGGAGGCGCGGCTGGGGACGGGCGGCCCCGAGGGGCTGCAGCGGGCCGAGCGGGGCCACCGCTTCCAGATCGACGCCCTGGTGCGGCAGGGCGGCTGGCCCGTCGAGGAGGCGACGGCGGACACCCTCCCCTACCCCCACGGTACCCGAACCCACCCCTACCCCCACGGTACCCGAACCCTGCGCCCCAGGCGACGGCGTACACCCTCCTGCTCTGCTGCTGCTCCACCGCCCTCGCCGCCGACGCCGCGGCCGCCGCGGGCGGGGCGGGCGGGGCGCCCCCAAGGCAGTGGGCGAACTCGCTCTCGCTCTCGGGCGGCGGTGGGGCGGGCGGCGGCGGGGCGGGCGGCACGTTGCGTTGGCCGGCGGCGGCGGAGGTAGTCTCGAGGGTGCTTGTGCAGTGCGCTGCAGCAGGCCGGCCGATGCCTCCCGCGCCGCCGGCGTACGCATGCCTGCGCGGCGACCACTTCGGGCTGTGCGGAGACGACGCACGGTGGGCGCGGCTGCCTTCGATGTCGGAGGGGGAGAGCTTCGTGACCGGCGCGGTGGTCTGCGGCCTGGCAGGGCGAGTGCCTAGCCGCCCCCCCTCACCGCCCCCATCGCCTCCGCCCTCACCGCCCCCTCGCCTCCCCCCTCGCCTCCGCCCTCGCCACCCCCCTCACCACCCCCCCGTCGCCCCCTCGCCGCCCCCTCACCACCCCCTCGCCTCCCTCCTCGCCACCCCCTCGCCTCCCCCCTCACCGCCCCCCTCGCCGCCCGCCCGCCGGAGCATCGCCCTCTCCTCTCGTCGCAGGAGCGAGCTGTTTGCGGAGCGGTCGGCCACCGGCTTGCACATCCAGACCTCCTCTGGCGGCGTGCACGAGGCGCGAGATCACCCGAGATCACCCGAGATCACCCGAGATCACCCGAGATGCAGTCGAGATGCCGCCCCACTCAGATGCAGTCGAGATGCCGCAGGCTTGACTGGGCTGGCAGCTCCTGGCTGCTCCACCCCACCCCACCCCACCCCCCTCCTCACACCGCCCGCCCGCCATGACTGGCCAGCGGCCCTCCTCGACGGAGACACGTCATCTCGGGCCATCTCGGGCCATCTCTGGTCATCTCGGGTCATCTCGGGTCATCTCGGGTCATCTCTGGTCCTCTCTGGTCCTCTCTGGTCCTCTCTGGGTCATCTCTGGTCCTCTCTTGGTAGTGGGCCCTCCTCGACGGAGACATTGTCTGCTTGCACTCGCGGCCCTCCGGGGAGGCAACCTCGCGCTCCCTCGTCCACGTGGGAGGCATGGGGTACCACCTCCCGCCCGGCGCCACGGTCACGCTTACCTCGACCGCCGACCGCTTCCGCGCGCACGGACGGGCCGTCCGGTGCCCCCCCCCCCCTCTCCACACACACACACACACACACACACACACACACACACACACACACACACACACACACACACACACACACACACACACACACACACACACACACACACACACACACACACACACACACACACACACACACACACACACACACACACACACACACACACACCCTCACCTCGCCCTCCTCCCACACCCTTTTTTGCCCCCCCCCCCCCCCCCACCACCACCACACACCCACCACCACACCCACCCACCACGCTCTCCCCCCCCCAGCCGGCGCGTGTACAACGTCGAGGTTGAGTACCCGCACTTGCCGCCGCCGGAGCGACCGCGCGAACAGGCGGCGACGCGGCGGCAGTCAGCAGCGCAGAGGCGGGGCGAGGGGCGGGGCGAGGGCGGTTGCGGCGGCGGCGGAGGCGCGCGGGAGTGGCCGCTGCTCTGCAGTAGCGCATACCCGCTTGGCGAGGAGGAGCGGGGGGCGGGCGCGGCCGCCGCGTCCGGAAGGGAGAGGGGCAGCTTTCCGGCGTCGAGTGGCCGCCTCGACTCGGCGGCGGAGGAGGGCGGGGAGGGCGGCGGCGAAGGGTCCCCTGCCGGCGGGAGGGAGGCGGAGCCGACGCCTGCGCCATGCGAGTACCGGGCGGAGGGTGGCGCAGCGGGCGAGCCCGCCGCGCCGGCTTGCCAAGCCGCGCCTGCGGGGGGCCGCCTCTGGGAGGCCCCGGTGGTGGCGGAGGAGGCGGAGGGGGTGAAGCTGCACCTCAGCGGCGGCAGCACCGGCTACAAGGGGGTGTACGAGGGGAGCCCTGCAGCCGACACCGCCGCTCGCCGCTTCTTCGCGCAGCACAGGGTGGGCAGGAGGCGCGAGCACTTGGGCCCCTTCGACACGGCGGTGGCGGCGGCGGTGGCGTACGCGCGGGCGGTCGCGGAGGCGGACGGCGAGGCGGACGGCGAGGCGGACGGCGAGGCGGACGGCGAGGCGGACGGCGAGGCGGACGGCGAGGCGGACGGCGAGGCGGACGGCGAGGCGGACGGCGAGCTCGAGTCGGCCGGGCTGGTGGCGGAGGCGCGGGGCTTGCACTCGCAGGCGGTCGGGCCGGCGGGGACGGAGACCGCAGTGGAGGAGGAGGAGGCGCCGGGGGCGGGTGTGGAGGCGCGGGCGGCGTCGCGGCCCCAGCCGCCTGCCTCGCCGAGCCGCCCCCCGTGCATTCTCGTGCCGGGCTGCGTCCTGGGCTCCCTCCACCGCGGGCTCTGCCTCGTCCCCGAGCTTGGCCCTCGCAAGCGGAGGCCCGCCCCGAGCGACACCTCGCCGCACAAGCGGCAGACGCGCGCGGCGCCCGCGCCGGCGCCGCAGCTTCCCCCCGTTGCGCCACCGCCCAAGCGGCAGAGGCGCGTGACGCCGGCGCCGCAGCCTCCCGTTGCGCAGCCGCCCAAGGCGCCAAAGTCGCCAAAGCAGCAGAAGCGGCAGAGGCGCGTGGCGCCGGCGCCGCAGCCTCCCGTTGCGCAGCCGCCGAAGCGGCAGAAGCGCGTGGGGCTTGCGCCTAGCGCAGTGGCGGAGGAGGCAGAGGGGCTGCGCCTGCACCTCTCGAGCACAAACAGCACCGGCTACGTGGGCGTCTACGTCAACGGGCGCCGGGACGGGCGCTTTCGGGTCATCCTCACTCTGGACTCGAAGCAGCAAACCGTTGGCATCTTCGGCACCGCAGTGGAAGGGGCGGTGGCCTACGCCCGGGCGGTCGGCGGCGAGCAGGCGAGGGCAGGGCGGGCGGAGGCGAGGGCAGGGCGGGCGGAGGCGGAGGCGACCTTGCCCGAAGACGAGGCCAGCGCGGCTCGCATCACGGACTTCCTCAGCAAGTCGGGCACCAGCCCCTCCGCCTTCGCGCGCGAGCAGCTGCAGATGAAGAGGCGGCCACAGCTGGACGCCTTTGGCTCCTGGCTGACGCGGCAGAACCTCGAGGGGAAGGACGTGGTGACCGCGGGCGCAAAGGCGCCGCCGCCGCGTGCCTCCTCTCCCGCGCCTCGCCCGCACGCCTCCCCTGCACGCTGACGACGGCCTAACGACGGCCACCCCCGTGGCCTTCAGGCGCGAAGGTTCCTCGCGACGGCCAACTGGGAGAGCCTCGTCGCGGAGGCCGAGACCAAGTCGGCGCGCGAGAGCTCCTCGGAGGGCGCCACCGAGGCCGGAGGCCCGGGGACCCCGCCGGGACAGTCCCCGGACTATTAGTCTAGTACCGACTCGGCTCTGGTGCAAGGCAGCAGTCGCATCAGCGCGGCCCATTCGGCCGGCCACTGGCCGTTTTTGCATTGTGCGTCGCAAATGCGCACGCCGCTTTACTGATTATTTAAGGTTGACCGGTGTCGTGTCAAAAAAACCTGGGCCGCAGCCTCTGTGTATAGCAGGACTTGACAGATGACACATGCCCAGATACAAAGCGAAAGCCTAGGGGAAACCACCATCACCAGGCGACTAGCCAGGCGACCCCACCATCGGGCTCCACCTCGCGCAGCTGGGCAGAGCGCCATCGCGCACGCGGCACGGCGAACGGACAGGAAGATGTACAACGACCAGAAACGGGGTGGGGTGAATGCTGAATCCAAAGAGAGCAACATATGTGAGCTCTGTCCGACTAACCAGCTCACGTAGTCAAGCCTCGACGCCCCTGCGGTCCATGTGGCTGCTCGCCGCCTCATTGCTGTCCGCCGGCGACGAGCTCACGCCATTCCCACTCGCTCCGAGCGTGACATCGGCCTCGTTGCCGCTGCCGCTGCCAGTGCTGCCGTATTTGCGCTCCCGCCCGCGGCGCAGTGCCTCGTTGTAGTCTCCCGGCCACTGTGCTGGCTCTTGCTTCATCATCGAGAGCGGCGCGAGGAGGAAGCAAGCGGCGCGGAACTCGCGTCTCCACGCGAGGGACATACTTTCGCTTCTGCGAGCGCGGTCGGCCTGCGCTTGCTGAGAGGTGCTCGTGGCTTCCGCGCTAGCTGGACCGCCCGTCTCAGCGTCGCCCGCCCCAGCACCGCCCGCCTCGGCGCCGGCCCCCTCGGCGCCGCCACCCTCGGCGCCGCCACCCTCAGCGCCGCTCTCTATGCCATCGTCGCACAGGAACGAGCTCAGATCCGTGCGCTCCTCGCAGCTGCCCGCTTGACTCCCATTCTCGAAGGCGTCCTCTCCGTTGCCCGCTTGACTCCCATTCTCGAAGGCGTCCTCTCCGTTGAAGACGCCCAGACGGCTGCGAGGCTCCCCGCCGAGGCCTCGACAGGAGGGCTCCCCGTTGTCGCCCCCAAGTGCGTCGGCCAAGACGCCGCCCGTTGTGCAGTCGGCGTTCGAGTCGTTGGCGGCCTGCGCTCCCCCACCCGCCTCCCGCCTCATCTCTCCGAGTAGGGAGGGGAGGAGGCGGGCGAGGTCGGGGCGGCCGAGCGTGACGTTGTCTCCGACGCAAGCGGGCAGGGGTCGCTCCTCCTGTGCCTTGCCCGTCAGGTAGAGCCGCACGGAGGTGCGAGGCAGCGCGATCAGCTCCTCCAGCAGCAGCGCATACTCGACGAAGAGCCGCACGTCCCGCGCTACCCAAACCAGCCGCAGCGAAGTGGTAGGCGGCCTCGACCCCGGCTCCGCCGCCGCCCGAGCGATGAATGCGCCCGCGAGTGCGGAGAGCGGCGTGATGCCGACGCCGCCAGCCACGAGGATAAGTTGCGGATGCGCCGCCGCGCGCTCCTCCGGCTCTCCGAATGGGCCGATCGCTCGCACCCGCAGCGGCGCCGCGCCACCCTCCTGCCCGCCACCCTCCGCCAGGCGGGACGCCGCGAGGGAGTGCAGCCCTCGCGTCCACGACCCCTTGCGGCCCGCCTTGATGCTCAGGTGCCGCACCGCCGCGTCGGCGGGAGAGTGGGCGGTGCCCCCGCCGCTCAGCGAAGCCCGCTCGCCGACCTTGGCGCCGCGGTCACTCACTGTAAACGGGTGAAACTGGAGCCAGGAGAGCGATGGGACTTGCACGTAGACGACCTGGCCTGGCCGCGCGCTCGCAGCACCGCGTGGGAAGCGGAGCGCAAGCGCCACGAAGTCGTCGCCGACGGGGCGGCAGGCCTCGAGCGTGCAGCGGCGCGAGCCGGAGAGGTCGAGGGCGAGCAGTGAGGCGAGCTCCGCCTTGTCGAGGAGGTAGAGCCACAACCCGACCATCGCTGTCTGCCAAAAGTCCCAAGAGTGGACGAGGGTGGCGACCAGGAGGAGGGGCAGCAGCAGGTGCAGCCGGTAAAAGGTGTAGTAGCTCCTGCGGCGGACGGCCGGCAGCGCGGCCGCGCCGGCGAGGAGGGAGGCGGCGCCGACCGCCTCCATCAGCGGGATGACCCAGGCGTTGATATCGGTGTCCGCGTGGGTGGGTGCGTAGTGGAGCAGGTTAGTGACGAGCGCCCCGTCAAAGGCCCAGGCCGCCAACTCGAGGCTGACGTGCACGAGCATCAGCCCGAGGCCGAGCCCGCCCAGCCAGCGGTGGTACGCGAGGGCGCTCTCCCACGAGAGGCCAAAGGCGGCGGAGAGGGAGGAGCGCTTGCCTGTTGGACATGCCGGGGACGCGTCATGGACGTGTCCGATAGACAGGCGGTACAGGGGAGGAGCGCTTGCCGATCGGGAGCAGCGAGAGGCCGAGGACGAGGTTCAGGCTGTGGCCGGCCGCAGAGCCGAGCTGCTTCAGGTTGTCCACCGCCGTCGAGTGCGCCCAGGGCTTGAGCTTGCCCAGCTGAGCCGCGTCCACCGCCCACCAGCCAAGCAGCGAGCCCGAGAGGAGGAGGAAGAGGATTGCGCCGAAGGAGCCGCGCCAGAGGCGGTAGAGGCACACGCTGGCGGAGGACGCCGCCCGCAGCCGGGGAGAGGCCTGCAGCAGCAGACTGCCTCCGAGGAGGGCGGCCAGGTAGCCATGAAAGGCAACCACACGCTTCATGTCTGGCGGCGTGCCCACGACGGCAGTAGGGTTGCGGAAGAGTGGCGACTTGAAGGTGCCCGAGAATGGGTTGCACGGAGGAGTATAGCAGTACCCGCCGCCCTCAACCGTTGGAGCCGTAAAGGAGTGAGGCGGTCGGTTTGCCTGCAGCACCTGTGGCGACGAGTACGTGGAGGCGAGCACGTAGCTGGCTGCGACAGCCAGCAGGGCGATGGCGGTGCGGATCGCTCGCTGTCGGTCCGATGCTGGCGATTCTTGGTCAATCGACGACGAAGCGGAGGTGGGAGGTGGCGGCACCGCCAGCAGCGGGTCGGAGGCAGAGCGTGGCATTACTCACCAGCGAAGAGAGCAAGAATAGACGGCTCGCCTAACGACGGCGAAGGGGGCTCCGAAAGCCAGTTCCCAGGATGGTTTGCATGGCCGAGCGGCAGGGCACCACCCTCCTACCTTCGTACATACAGAGCAACCATTTTTCTCTTCTCTGAAGTCGCTTCGGCAGAGACTTGCGAAGGAGCATGGCGAAGACAGCGAGCCGTGTGCCGAGGGCGCCGAGTCTCGGCCCCTGGCCCTTGTGTGTGTGGGCGGAGGGCCGGAGTTGGCCTTTACGAGAGAGAGAGATTTTTTTGTTGAGATTTTTAGCAATCAATACCTTTACGAGAGTTTCCGGCAACCCAGAGGGAAACCAGAGGGTCCCCAGCACTTTGAGTTTCCGGAAGTTTCCAGGGAAACCAGGGTGTTTGGTGCTCCATTCCTGCTCCATTCTGGTTTCTGCTTTCTGGCAACTCTCGAGTTTCCCTGAGGCCTGAGTATGAGAGCCATGGTTTGATGTCGACGTGTTCTCGGATCGAGTCGGACACGCACCTCTCGTCTCGTCTGTCACCCGCACACACAGAAGAGTAGCTTACTACTACTGTCTCTCCCCACAGTCACTCTCACTGTGCTGTCCTCGACCCGGCGGCGGGAAGGCTCGCCGGACCGAAAGCTCGGCGGCGAGCCTCTTCTCCATCGCCTCGTGTCTCTCTCTAGGAGGTGTCCCTGCCCGCCTGTCTGCGGGCGTAGAAGAGCGCCGCCTGCTCGGCGGTGGCGAAAAGGCCGAGTCTCACCATCTTGCCGCCAACCGACACCTTCAGCTCGTACTTCTGGCTGCCTTTCCGCTTCGGGCAGTAGGTCACGCATTTGTAGCCGCTGTTGCTGCTGCTGCTCGTGGCCAGAGTCAGGCCCTCCCTCTCCGCCTGCCGGATTGCCTCGGCGCCAGCGGGAGAATGAGGTGCGGGTGGCGGCGGCGGCGCGGTGAGATCGCTGGTGTCCCTGCCCGCCTCCCTGCGGGCGTAGAAGAGCGCTGCCTGCTCGGCGGTGGCGAACCAGCCGAGGCTGGTCTGCTTACCTCCAACCCTCACCTGCAGCTGGTACTTGCTGGTGCGTCGCCGCTTCGGGTCGTAGAAGACGCCTTTGTAGCCGCTGTTGCTGCTGCTGCTCGTGGCCAGAGTCAGGCCCTCCCTCTCCGCCTGCCGGATTGCCTCGGCGCCAGCGGGAGAATGAGGTGCGGGTGGCGGCGGCGGCGCGGTGAGATCGCTGGTGTCCCTGCCCGCCTCCCTGCGGGCGTAGAAGAGCGCCACCTGCTCGGCGGTCGCGAACCAGCCGAGGTGAACCTTCCTGCCGCCAACCATCACCCGCAGCTGGTACTTCTTGCTGCCTTTCCGATTCGGGCAGAAGGTCACGCCGTGGTAGCCGCTGTTGCTCCCGCCCGTGGCTAGCGTAAGCCCCTCGCGGTCCGCCTGCCGGACCGCCTCGGCGCCCGCGGGGGTGATGGTGCGCACGGCGGCCTGGAGGCCGGCTGGCGCACCACCGCAGCCCTCGTCGAGCTCCATCGCCTCCGGTGCTGCACCCTCCGGGTCCGCCAGCGCCGCATACCGCCCCGAGGCCGCGTGCGGGGGGGGCGGGGGGGCGCCGGGCTCGGTCGACCCGGTCGACCCGACCGACTCGCCCGCCTCGCTCGCTCCGCCGGCCCCGCCTGCCTCGACCGCCTCGCGCGCCACCCATAATACAATACGTATTAATACAACAATACAATACCATACGTATAATACACTATACAGCTCAGTCTCGCTCGTATTGTGCAACCCTGGTCCAAAATGTGGGCGAGCCGACAAATCAGGAAGCAGGAATCATCTGGAATCAATGGAGCATCAAGAATAGGAAGAGAGAGAGGAGAATCGGGAGGGGGGAGCAGAATCAGGAATTGGCTCTGGCTGCCCCAGAAGAATCGGAAAGGAAGCGGAGGAAACGAGAATGGAGAATCAGGAAGATGGGCGAGTCTGGGAAGAGAATCAGAATATCTGAGCAGAAGAGGAACCTGGGAAGGGGAATCTGGTGAGAGGTACAATAGCAAGAATCCTTGTTTAGTAGAGCAGAATAGGAAAGGCAGAATCCTTAGGCGCGGACAGACTTCTCCATTAGCATTACTCGGAGATGCGAGAAGATGCGAGGAGATGCGAGGAGATACGGTCAGATATTGGAAAGATACATCAAGATACCGCAAAAAAAGCCTTTATTTTCTTGGAGGTGTCACGGTCCTCTGGGCGTTCATCTGCCTCTAGTAGGTAGGTAGGTAGAAAGGTGAAGAACAGCCAGGCTCGGACTGGACACCAACGCGGTATGGGTGGACGCTAGACAGATGATGACGACACGCACGAGCGACACACTGCCTCTCGAGCAGCCGCGTCGCGATGGGAAAAAAAACGAGGGCCACGCGGCAAGTCGTTGCCCCCGCGGCTCACACCATGTCCATGTCCATGTACATGCACACGGTGCGCGCGAGTCTGCGGACGCTGCCGTGAGCACCGACGCCTCCATTTGTGACGGCCTCAGCTCGTCGTGGACCGCGATCGGGCACGCCTGGGCCGGGACGAGCACTGCCTCAGAGCCCACCACCTCACTCTCGTCGCAAGGCACGGAGGAGCCAAGCGTCAACGCCTCGGCGCTCCTGCAGCAGCAGCAGCTGCAGATGGCCGAGATGGCGGAGCGAATGCGCCAGATGGAGGCGAGGATGGCGGCGCAGCAGCGGGCCCACGCCCTCGAGAAGGTGCGCATGGACCTGCGCCTTGCCACGGCTGAGGCCGACACAATCGCAACGGGCGGCGCGGTGCCTACACTCCGCCCTGGCGCAAAATTCCTGCAGAGCTGCGTCCGCATCCAGACTGTGTGGCGAGGCAAGACCGCGGCGCGGCGCTACACGGCCGAGAAGCGCCGGGCCACGGAGATCGAGGCCGCCACTCGAAAGTGGCTCGCAACGCGGCAGCTCGTGGTTGCGCGCAGGGCCGCCAGCAATGTCGCCGCCTCTGCGCGCCGCCGCGCCGCCGTCCTGGAGCGGGCGCGGCTGCTGCGCGAGAGGTCTGCGGTGCGGGTTCAGGCGGCTTTCCGCTCGTACAAAGCGAGGGTGATCGACGCGCCTGCGGTGACCAAGTCACGGCTCATCGCACGGCGCCTGCATGAGGAGAGCCTGTACCGCGGCGCGCTTAGATCCGCAGAGGTGGACAAGGCGGTGGCGGCGGCGGCAGCAGAAGCGGACAAGGCGGCGGCGGTGGCGGCAGCGGTGGCGGCGGCAGAGGCGGACAAGGCGGTGGCGGTGGCGGCCGCGGTGGTGGCGGCAGAGGCGGACAAGGCGGTGGCGGTGGCGGCAGCGGTGGCGGCTGCAGAGGTGGACAAGGCGGTGGCGGTGGCGGCAGCGGTGGCGGCGGCAGAGGCGGACAAGGCGGTGGCGGTGCCGGCAGCGGTGGCGGCTGCGGCACCGGCGGCGCCGGCTGCCGCGCCCGCGTTGGCGGGGCTCGCGACCTTCAGCTTTGCCACGCCCACCAAGTTCGAGCGCTCGCCGAGCGGCACGACAGAGGTGCCCAGCTTCAGCTTCACTCCGTCCAAACCGGCGCCAGCGCCGGCGGCCTCCTCCGGCTTTGCATTCGGGAAAGCGTACACCAACCAAGAGTTTCATTATCTTCTCGCCCGGGCACCGAATAGGTACTCGAACTCGTAATAGAGGTCGCTTGAAGGCGCACGTACCAGGTGACTTGCGCCCTTTTATTTAACACCTGTTATGGCCGCTCCCATAACCTTGTCTGGGGTCAATTGTCTTCAGTCTTGCGAGTTGCGTGCGAGGTGCGTGCGAGAGCGAGGGGGCCGGGGCGGGCCCGGCCTCGCCGCGCGGGGGGCCGCCTGGGTGCTGTACCCGCAAAAATACCCCGGTATTTTGTGCCGAGGCTGATTTGGGGCCCAAACCAGCCTCAGACTCGGCTCAGAGGGAACAGAGTTTCCCAAGGAAACTAGAGGGTGCTGTAGGGAAACTAGCAGGAAACACGGCAAGGAAACCAGGCAGGGCGGTGGCCCGCGCGGTGCGAGAGGAAACTTCTCGTAAAGCCCAAGGCCGGAGGCCACCGGGAGGGTACAAAACCAAACTCTCTATGTTACGCACGAAAATGGGGCAGGGACGACGGGGCACTAACTCACACACACACCACTCGAACAGAGCTCGCATCGTCTGTGATTGTAGAGTAGACGACAGACGAGCGGCGCCGGTGAGCAGGTCCATACAGACGGTGCACATACCGGCGTCAGGCCCGCTACCCCTGGCAGTCACGCCGCTCTGACGTCAAGGAAGCAAAGTGCTCTTGAGCATGTCCCAGCGCCTCATCGAGCGTGGCGTGCGATCTCTGCAGCTCTCTCAGCACCTGGTCAAGGCCCCACAGCTGCTCATGCTCATGGTGGCTGCTCGGCTCTTCAAGCTCCTCCACTTGGGTGGACGCATCCTGCGACCCGACCGATCGCCACTCCACATCCTCCGCCTCGGAGTCAAAGGCAGACGAGCTGCTTTCGACCGGCAGCGAGGCGGGGTAGATCCTTCCTCGGGTGAGGCCAACCTCAACCGGCTCGAGACAGCCCCGATCCGGCGGAGGCGAGGTGCGCGTTGCGAGGGCGGCGGCCGCCGTTGCCCGCTGAACAGCTACATCGCCCCCATCGGTCGCTGCCAGCGCCGCTGCAAGCTCGTGTATGAGCGCTCGTGAGTACTTGGCTTCTGCGGCGAGCTGCTGGACGCGCTCGCGGTGTGCGTTGTCCGAGGCCAGAATCATGGCGAAATTGCGAGTCAGTGCGGCCACCTTCTCCCGCTCCAGGAGGAGCGTGGCGGAGCGGCTGCCGTGCTGCTTTGGCGATGCCGGCTGCGACAGACGCATGTGCCCCCGACTGCCGATTGTACGGCTCGCGCGCGCGCTGCGGCGGGCGGATTGAGCTAACTGTGCGGGTTCTTTTTGTTAGTGCCAGTGCGCGCCAGTCCCGTGCCCAGTGTTTTTGCCCGTCAGGTCTTTTTTTTCCCCCTTGCCGCGGAGGGCGGGGAAGAGTCTCTCGCTCTTGGCTTTCAACTGGACGCACCGTGATGAGCCTTCTCCCTTCGCCGCGAGACGTTTCTCTCGATGAGTCGCCGCTGAGTCTCCTTCTCGCCGAGCGGGCATCCTGGGAACAGGAGGTGCAGCGGCTCCAGCGCTGTGCCGAGGGTTGGCAGCGCTACGCCACAGCGCTCGAGGGCCTCTTGCAGCCTCGGGCGGACAGGGTGGACAGCGGGTGGGCGCTCGATGCGCTGGAGGAGATGGGCTTTGCGCGTCCCGACGCGGAGGACGCACTGAGGCGGAGCGGGAGCCTCGACGCCGCAGCAGAGCGCCTCAACGTGATGGTCGAGGTGCAGAGGGCGGGCGCTCGGCAGCGCGTTGGTCCGAACGACCAGCAGTGCGCAACGAGAGAGCTGCTGCGCGCGAGCAGCGCTGTCTCGAGCATCTCGGCACAGCTCGACGAGGCACTCGGCCCGCGCTGGCGGCGAGGTTGCTGCGACCCAGATGCCGAATACACACAGATGCCGACCGGTGTGTCTGCTTGCAGCCAACGCTGGCATCTCATTCTAGTTCTACATGGCTGCGAGTGCTCCAGCATACCGCACGACCGTGCCTCGCTGCAGGCTGCAGCGACGCAGCGCTTTCGACGGCGGCTTGCACGTCGCAGTTAGCGACGGCGCTCGCAAATGTGGAGGAGGGGGTGGGGTTGCTGCTCGGCGCGGCGCGGCATGCCGAGGCACAGCATCTCTTGACCCACCGACAGATGGCCTCCTCCGAGTTACATACACTGGTATACGCGCAGCATCACTCCTGCCGCCGTCCGCGTCACCCTCGCCTCCGCCGCCTTCCGGCCCCACACTCGCCTAACACACCCAGGCGGCGCAGCAGCTGGAGGAGGAGCGGCGGCGGCAGAGCGAGCGCAGGACGGAGGCGGCCGAGGCGGAGGGTGCGAGACTGAGGGCGCGGCGCGGAGACATCAGATGCGAAAGAGGGGGCCTCACCCCCCGGGTCCCTGGGAGGCGGCGATGCCATGCCGCTGCGACACTGGACTTTGGAGGTCGTGGCATGAAGCCGCCCTCTCTGCACGGCCTCTGACCCCTCCCCTCTCACGGTCTCTGCAGTGCGCGTGGCAAAGGCGGAAGGCGCTGAAGACCCCCCCCCTCCCCCCCTCTGCGCCAGGCTGTCGACCCTCGAGCATGAGGTCGTGACGGCAGGCGCCACGGTGGGCCGGCTGGCGCGGCAGGTGCCTCCCTAATGCCTCCCGCCGCCGCCTACGCCCACGACACGCCCACGACACGCCCACGACACGCCCACGACACGCCCACGACACGCCCACGACACGCCCACGACACGCCCACGACACGCCCACGACACGCCCACGACACGCCCACGACACGCCCACGACACGCCCACGACACGTCCACGACACGTCCACGACACGTCCACGACACGTCCACGACACGTCCACGACACGTCCACGACACGTCCCTGTCCACGAGTCCGCCGCGCGGCAGGTGTGCGAGTACGAGGGCGAGCTGGGCGCGCTGGGGCACGACGGCAGCTTTGGGGGCGGCGGGGACGCCCGCGGCTGCCGAGTCGCGGGCGAACCAAGCGGCGCGGCGGAGGAGTCGGCGGAGCGGCTGCGGGCCGGCGGCGCGCTGTGCGGTGATCTTCTGGATGGGGCGTACGAGCCATTTCACTTTGGGGGGGCGGCGGCTGCCATGGAGGAGGGGGCCGAGGCGGCGAAGGACGGGGAGGAGGAGGAGGCAGAGGAGGAGGAGAGGGAGGAGAGGGAGGACGAGGAGAGGGAGGACGAGGAGGAGGAGGGGGGGCGGAGCGGCGGCAACCTGCAGAGCCCACCGACCTCGTCCGGCTCCGCGCCGTCGCGCCCGAGTCGAGCCGAGACGCCGCCTCGAGCCCTCGAGCCAGCGCACGGGCCGCCAGCTGGCTACTCTGAGCGGCCTCGTGAGCTGAGTCCGTACCGGCTGCCGACGGCGAGCGAGGAGTATGGCGCGATGTACGCGGCGGGCGAGCAGGCGGCGGTGAGCTTTTGCAACGGACTCAAGGGCCTCCTTCGAATACGGGCCCCTGCCCTGCCGGAGCCCGCCACGGCAGGCGCGCCGCCGCACACGCCACCGCCGGGCGGCGGTGCGGGGCCGCCACAGGCTGAGAGTTGAGAGCTATAGCCGTACGATAGCTTGTGCCGCGAGGGCTCAAAGTGCAAAAACAGGATTTGCGTTTGCGTGCGGTGGGGATTGCACTTTGCAGCGATCGGCGAGATACTTTCGACTTTCGGATTCAAAAGTCAAAACAAGCCGGCTGCTGCACGTGGAGCTGCACGGTTCGGGCCGAGCGCTATTTGCTTTTGACTGCTTCACCAATGCTTGTAAGTTGTACCGTTGTAGGCGCTTGTTTTGGCTAGTGCCATTTCACTCTGACACGCTAATCTTGAAAACGCCTCCAACGGAGCTCCGTGTTGCTTCCAGCGCCCTCCCCCGCGCTCCCTGCGGCCATGGCCGATGCTCCTAGTTTGAGAGGTCATCTGGCTACCGCGAGAGCGACCCAACTCGTCGACATCGTCCGATGGTTGTGCCTCAAAGTCAGCCTCCGGAGGCTATCGTGGGGTCGAGCCGGCAGTAGCCGTGACATGTGGTTCCACCACCCCTCGTAGGCTTTGCCTCTGACCGCCACCGTTCCCAGGCTGTCTAATGGGATGGAAAGGAAGGCTGGGCGAGCGTATAGAAGCGTGCTCGACCTCGTCGTGGCAGCCTGCACGGCAGCGCTGGCGGGCGCGATGAGCGTCAAGCCACCTGACCCGAGACGGGTCGCAGGCGTCGTACCGAGCGCGTCGAGACCGTGTCCTGATGTGATCTGCACGGGTGAGTCACGTCGGCGTCAAAGAGCGACGTGCGACCTGTCAGAGCTTGATCTCCGATCAGCGGCGTCGATTCGTCCCTGGGGTGTCGACGGGCCCCCGGGGGCGATGGGGGTGCTCTTGGGGGGGGTCCCCCCAGTGAAGGGGGTCTGGGGCGGCGCCCCAGGTAGCCCGCCGCAGGCGCCGATTTTTTGGGGCTTTTTTGTACTGATTTCCATGAGGTGTTGCTACTATTTTGGGACCAGTTGAAGCCTAAAAATGGCTACAAATACAGTCACAGCAGCTGCTCGTCATGAGCTGCTACTGTGTGGCAGAGCCCAGAGAGAGGGCTTTCAGGAGCACTATTCAGTTTGATCCAGCTCAACGTTGCGGAGTAGTAAGACTGTTCGGTTGCCGTGAGCGGCCGGCGGCCGGCGGCGGCCGGTGCGGCACGCGGAGCACTCCGTGAGCGGTGACGGGTGCGGACGAGCGAATGAGAGGTCCCTTTCAGTGAGAGATAGGCAGTCCTAGTCCCTAACAACACATCTTCCACAGATAGCGACCTCTCATTCGCTCGTCCGCGCCCGACACTGCTAGTCGGGGCACTCCGCTCCGCTAAGGATCCAGCGTCTGAGACTTGGGCATCTTACACAACTTTTGTAGTAGAGCACAATGGCACCCTTGCATCAAGTGCATCACTTCATTGATACCGTATATACCGACCCCCGTTTTCGGCCGCCGCGGCCGGAGAGCACCCCCGTCGCCCCCGGGGGCCCGTCGACACCCCAGGGATTCGTCTCCGGCGGCGACAATTCGGTACCTCCCCAGGACGCGCAGAGGCAGCTGCGACCCCGCCAAGTGGACGGGGGCACTCCGCGCCACCTGCCGAGTGCCCCCGTCCACTCGGCGGGGTCACAGCTGCCTCTGGAAGGCACCGAGAGGTACCAAATGGCGCAAATGGTCAAAATCAAAGTTTTGTAACGCGAGCTGTGCCACAGTGAAATGGCACTACGGGGTGTGGACCATGAGTTGACCAGGGGTTGTGCGCCTGGCCCTCCTGCTCGGCTCCAGCCGGTAGACAAGTCTTGTCATCAACAGAGTAGATGGATCTGACCTCGGGGCCGATGTGAGACCAAGCGCTGGTAGCGTGGTTTTACCTCACACCCATGGTCTCACAGTGTGCCGGCAGTCGCCGAGCAGTGTCGCTCACACAAGCCGCAGCACAAGTGACTGAGGGCCAGTGAGGGCGAGAGCCCATCGCTGTGACAGCTGTGGCAGCCGCACAGTAGGCTGTGTCAACTGTGCAGAGTGTGTGAGCAGCAGAGGAGCTGCTCTCCAGGCTTCTGACGCAAAGAGCTGCATGCCATCGAAGGCGCTGTCGAGGTTCGCCGAGCGCGGCGCAGGTTGGAGGACACCGTCACCGACGAGCGCGTTGGACTTTTCACTCCGGACAAAGACGGCGACACGCACACGAGCTGCGGCCGTGTCGCCGTCATAGCGGCGAGGCGCGGGACCGTCTGTGGCGAAGTGGGTCGCGTCCTCCGATTTCCTCAACTCACGGTCCGCTCCCTCTAGCCTTTGGGGCATGTGGACAACGAGAGACGCACGTCCGGTCGTGGAGAGCGTTCACGAACTGACTTCTGTGTTCTGACACCAAGGCGTGGGACGCAGGGTCGCAGCGCTATGGCTATGGTTTCTCATGCGTTGGGAACCGAGCGGCACGTAGGCTGGCGAGCAGTGAACCCAGTGTGGAGAGGAGGGGACAGAGTGCACAGGAGAGGTACATAGTATGACTGGAGTGCCCGCTCACGATTGGGGCGAATCTGCTCCAGCAGAGTGTACGAGCGAGGCGGCATGAGCGACCTAGCGCGGGGCGGCGTCCGGCGAGCGCGGGGCCTCAGGCGGCGGGGCCTCAGGCGGCGGCGCCGCCCACCTTTTTGCACACGTCGTTCAGCAGCGCGACTCTTGGATTGGGCTTAATTTTCACGTCGCTCTCGACAGCCGGTGCGGACTTGTCGTCCGTCTCAACGTGGTTCAGAGATTTTCCCTTTGCGACTTCCGCCATCAATTCCTTGCCTTTGAAGGTGCCAACCGTGACATCCTTTTCGATGAAGGGCGCGCTCTTGTCGTTCGTCTCAACGTGGTTGAGATCGGACCTCTTCTTCACCGCGATCATCGCCTCCAAGTTGACTGCTCCGCGGGGGCTGGCCTTGAGCACCAGTGAGCTGTCAATCATCGGGCTGGAGCGGTCGTCCGTCGAGATCTTCTGATTCTTCAGGGGCACCCCCTGGGAGATCTCCGCCATCAACTCCTTGCCTTTGTAGGCGCCAACCTTGACATCAGAGTCGATAGCCTGAGGCGGGGGGTGGAGCGAGTCGTGAAGTGAGGTTGGGGAGAGCGGATGGGCGGGCGATACTGTACCGGGCCGCTCTTGTCGACGGTCTCAGCTTTTTTGAGCTTCGCAGCCGCCAGTTCCTCTGCGGTGGGGAGGGTAGCCATCGCGGCGGCTTGGTCGCGGCGGCGGCAAAAGTGGACGTCTTTGTGATTTTGTGATGAGACTAAAAGAATTTTACAACATAACTCCCTCGCACAACACTGGGCACGGGACTGGCGCGCACTGGCACTAACACAGGACTAAAAGAATTCCTGGCCGAACTGACACTTCTCCCATCCCTCCCTTGGGTTGTCTGTTTTCTTTCTTTCTTTACTGGCACTGAAGAACAACACAAGTCTCAAATCTCTCTCTCTCTCTCTCTCTCTCTCTCTCTCTCTCTCTCTCTCTCTCTCTCTCTCTCTCTCTCTCTCTCTCTCTCTCTCTCTCTCTCTCTCTCTCTCTCTCTCTCTCTCTCTCTCTGACACAGGTAACTACATAAACCCTTGCCGGTGATGCCCGGACCGCGCTCCGCCGACTTTGGTCTCGGAGTTTTCTCTTTGAGCTTAGCCTTCGATGTTATGAAACAAACGCAAGGCGGACCTGGCATATCGCTCTCGGGCCCACAGACATCCCGCACACCCGCCGCCCCCCGCGTGCGCCCCACCCCGGCCGGGAGAAAGGGGAGTGACAGCTTGGGACGGCAACAGAACGAGTATCTTGCACTCCATGACCATGTGCAAGAACGCAGGGTAAATGTAAGCCGGATGGCTCACAGGCCAGCTCTTGCGCCCCGACTGACCGATCTACCGCACTGGCCACTTCCGCCCCCTCGCTCCCAACCCATCCACCTTGCCGCGTGGCGCCGCAGAACCGCGCGATCACGGGCGATCTCGGGCCGCGCCGCGCGATCTCGGGCGATCTCGCGCTATCTCGGAGCTCCACGCCACGCCGCTCCCCCACCCACCCACCCACCCACCCACCGCCGCGCGCGGCGCTATCTCGGGCGATCTCGGAGCGTCGCTCGCGCGGCGGCACACCTGCTCAAAAAAGGAAGGGCGCGGTTGGAGCCACGGGGCTCACGCACTCGCTCAGGGCGCCGCCTCACTCTGCGCCATTTTTGGGGCGTTGGCGAGGGCCGGTGCGGCGGCGCCCCGTTCTCTGTGTTAGTCCCGACACTTTTGGTGCTGCTAGAATTCTTTTTTCGGAGGTCCCCACAAACACACCGGCAGTCCACCTCCATGCGCAGTTCGCGTTCTCGGAGTGCCGCCTGGGAGAACTGGCTTGCTGCATAGTGGCCGACAGCAGCACATTGCCCGAGGAAGAACAGGCACTCCACGATGCATATGAGATTCGGACGAGGCCGGATGGCAATCATCGCCTCAGGGGCCGCTTTGGGTCAAAAGGTGGCGTGTGACGGGAACAACCCAGAGGAACATGACGATTCTGCAAGGAGGAGCTCCGATCCGCCTCCCCCGGACGACGCGGAGAGGAGGACGTTAATCGCGAGATGGACGACCGAGAACGAGATCCCAAACACGAGCTGGCCGCCGCGCCGTGAGGGCGCCGAAGCCGGGTGCCGGCCCGCGCTGAGGCGCGCGTTCGACGCGTGTGGAGGGGAGCAGCGGCTTTTTGCTGCCAAGAGCGGCGGGTGGGTCGCAAAGCGGCACCATGAGTGCGACGAGATCACCTTCCAGCTGGCGGTCTCGCTTCTTGGCGGTACGCTCTTCGGCCACTCGCCCAATGAGCCTCCGACGGCGGAGGAACAGACCGAGGGCGCCCACTTGATGCGCGGCCTGGCCGACGCGGGCTCGCCGCCAGGCGCCTCTGCTTGGTGTGCTCGGACTCACATCCTTGGAGCTCAGGTTGCTCACTGCGACTAGGCGCATGCGCCTGGGCTTTCCTGCTGCGCAACGGCGACGTGGTGGAGGAGGACTCGGCAAAAGCGCTGCACTACCACCACCAGGCCCACGCTTTGTATGCCGTGGGGCCCCTGTCTTGGGACGTGGAGACGGGATGGATCGCCCGGACCTAGCCCCACCACTTTGTGTGGGTGGAGAGGTGACGCGAACCCTTTTCTCGTGGCAGGCGGCCTCCGCCGGCTACGCGCAGTCGATGCACGAGATCGGGACGATGCACTACCTGGGCGACGGCGTCGAGCCGGACTCGGACGAGGCGGTCCGCTGGTTCCGGCGGGCGGCCGAGCTGGGCGTGTCTGGCTCCATGTACTTGCTCGGAGAGTGCCTCCTCGCGGGAGAGGCGCGCGCGAGATGCACCCGCGACGAGACCTGAGACGGACCTCCCGCGCCACACCGCCACACGTGGCCTCGCGGACCGCAAGGCCCGGCCCTCGTCTCACCCCCTCGCGCCCACCGCCCTCCCTCACAGGGCACAAAGCAAGACACGGCGTCGGCGCTCGGCTGGTTCGCGGCGGCTGGTGAGCTCGGCCACTGCAGCGCCCGCTCGCGCATCGTCGCCGAGGGCTTTGGCGGCCTGCCGGCGTGCATCTACGAGCGGCTGGAGGAGGTCTAGGTGGCTGCAGGCTGCAGGCTCTGCTGGCGAGGCAGCTCCCTCTCGCGCATGCACGGCGGGACCGCTGCGTTCTGAATCCAGCGTGGAGGGCCCATGGTGCATGCACGGGCGAGTACCGAGACGTATGTAGTCGCTTGGGCGTGGATAGGGTCAGATCTTGGAATAGGTTGCCCACTACACTGTGGTTATGAGAAGTGTGCGGTGTCGTGCATAGGGGGTAAGAGCGGGGTGGGCTGCGTGCTTAGACAGTTAGGGCGCTGTCCGTCCCCGGTTCGGAAAATCAAAATACTCTCTCTTCACCTTTAGCCCTTTATGGCTCTAGCCGTATCTGTTGACTGTTCGTGTCGGCTCCGCCGTCCGCGCCTGTCCGCGGCAGTCTCTTGAGTCTATACGAATTCGCTCTCTCCCGTTCTCTCCGTACATGACACAAAGAAAATAGAAATCTCTTTTTGGTTTTGGCCTTTTTACAGAGATCTTGAGTCTTCTTGTGTGTTGTGTCCCCCCCATGCGCATCATTGCTCCTGGTTCAACCTCGGTGGTTCGCGTCAGACCGGTCCTAGGGCCTGCATGCGCCAGCCGCAGCGGTGAGAAACCAGTCTCCTGATAGAGGCGTGCGGAAGCGGGGCCGCTCGCTCACTTCCCCTGCGCGGCACCTCACTCATTCGATCAGCCTACTTCTGGGGAACCACTTCTGGGGCGCGTCTTGCGCTTTTCCTTGAACAGACGGCGCTGCTCTATGCGTTGTTGCCGTCGAGCCCTCAATCTATGACGGTCCAAAGCACTGGACCAGTGCCTCCCTCGGTGTTTCGTACTGCCCGACAGCCGCCGCTGCTGGTGGATAGAGATCAGGGGAAGGGATTGCGGCCTGTCGCTGCGGAAGGCCAAGAGACATCGATCGGATGGCCGAGAGACATCGGTGTAACGCCCGACGACCGGCCCTGCAGGTGCTGGCAACAAAACCCAGCTCGCGCGCCACCTGGGCCCTGGCTGCCGAATCTGCCATCCTCGTGTCGCACTGCCAATCGTTTGCGATGCTCGTTTGCGATGCTCGCGCGCGTGCTGTCCGGCTACGCGGGGCCAAAGCGGCCACTAGTTTGGGGGGTCAGCGCGGTTCCGTTCATTCAATCTTCGACAAGCAGACATAAAAACTCTTTTGGCTTCTTGTTCAATTTAGTTTTTGTTCATAGAAGAAAGCCAGTCTGGTGTGCCTGGGTCGAATTGTAAATTCTTTTTGGAGACGGCACCGAGTCGGAACCAGCGCCTTCAGAGGCTCGCGCGTTGATGAAGCCGCGGCCGCCGCCGCCCTTGCCACCTTTCCCACCACCGCCCAGCCACTGCCAGCGCCGTTCTCCCCACCACAACCGACCTTCACCGCGCTCGCTGCGTGTAGGCATGGGCAAGAAAGAAAAGGGCGGCGGCAGCGGCGCAGTCTCGCCAGACAGCGGTGGCAGTGATGCCGGCGCGAAATTGTTCAAGGCAAAGTGCGCAACGTGTCACACCGCCAACGACGGAGGACCAAACAAGCAGGCGCGACTCCGAAACCAGAACCGGTGTGGAGCCGGCGGCCTGCCTGCGGCGGTTGACCTTGCCCCGTGCGCAGGGACCCAACCTATGGGGCGTGATGGGCAGGCAGTCTGGGCAGGTGGCTGGGTTCAAATACACGGTCCGTCTCCCGCGCCACATGCCGCCCCAGACACACCCGCCAGGTCTCCGCAGCAGCCACAGGACACGCACCGACGCGATCTCTCCAGGCGGCAAACGTCAACTCCGGCATCATCTGGTCCAACCAGGCGCCGAGTGGCAGACGAGGGCGCCCCATGGAGCTCGCCCCTCACCCGGCCCCGACCCGTCCTCGCGCCACCAGACCATGTTTGACTACCTCGCTAATCCGAAGAAGTACATCAAGGGAACCAACATGGCGTTTCCGGGCTTCAAAAAGGAGAAGGACCGAGCGGACTGCGTCGCCTACCTGAACACCTGCAAGTGAGCCGGGGTGCATGGTGGCCAGCTACTTCGGCTTAGGAAAGTCCTCAACTTACGTCGCCACAGCTCCGGTCGATCTCGCTTCACTTGAGCACTGAGAATGTGAACGGATGGCCCAGCCTGCACTGGCAGACGGGCTGTCCGTGTCGAGTGTCCGCTCTAGGAGACGTAAGCAGTCCGACGGCAGGAAGGAAGAGCTGGATTGGATCGATATGGAATCGGGAGATCGAATCGCCAAAAGCTTGGTATGCGGGCGGCCAGCGGACGCGGTAGTTGGACGATAGCGAGAATACGACTTGGATGAAGCCAACGAGGATTTGTTTGTTAGGATCTTCGCCTGAATGAAGGAAGGGGGAAAGGTGTGTGTGTGTGTGTGTGTGTGTGTGTGTGTGTGTGTGTGTGTGTGTGTGTGTGTGTGTGTGTGTGTGTGTGTGTGTGTGTGTGTGTGTGTGTGTGTGTGTCTGTGTGCCAGAGAGTGTCCTGACGCCAGTGCGCAGTGTGGTCTGGCGAGGAATGCACCTGGACGCGTGTCGAGGTGTGGGCACCCGACCCTAACCCCCAAACACCACTCACCCCCCAGTCCGCCGTGGAGCGATGGCGAGCCTCTCCCTCCTCTCCCTCTCCCTCCCCTCCCTGACGCGATGGCTCACTTTCGCGCCGCGGGCCGCGCCACGGCGCGCGTTGCCGCGAGCGCAGATCGTGTGGGGCAACGGGCCGGACACGGACGCTGCGGGCGCTGGGACGTCGCTCATGGAGCTGAGTGCGAGCTATGGGTGGTGCTATTCGGACGCCGACCTGGCGGAGATGGAGGGCTTTCAGGCGCGCCATAAAAAACTTGGTCGCGAGCGAGCAGGCCCAAACCTCATCCCACGCCCCGCTCTGCAGGAGTCACTGACCAACGCGACGCGGTCTTACATGTCGGCGGAGGAGCTGTCACAGCTGCGCACGACGCTCGAGATCGCCTATCAGTCGCGCGTCCCCGACGCCGCCGCCTCCGAGGCCCGCCTGCGCCACGCGGTCGCGGTGGCGCGCGTGCTTGCCGAGCTGCGGATGGAGGTAGAGGCGGCCCGAGAGAGGAGCGAGAGATGAGAGCGCGTGCGCGAACCAGGGCGCCCGAGGCGGCGGATCATCTCGCAACCCCCCCCCCCCCCTACCTCCTGCCCCTGGCCCCTGCCCCCGCCCCGCCGCACCAATCGCCCCCGCCCGGCTCCGCACGCCCCCCGCGGCCAGGTGACGGCGGTGACGGCGGCGGTGCTCGCGGGCGTGTGCGACGACTCCGGCATCACCTACGCGCAGATTGAGTCGCGGCTGGGCGCCGCCGTCGCCAACGCCGTGCGCGACGTCTCCAACGTCTGGCGGCTCTCAGAGCTGCTGCGCTCCGGCTCGGCCGCCGACGCGGACGTGCTGCCCCCGGGGCTCGACCCGGCCAACCACGTGGTAGTGATCGGCGAGGCGGGCCGGCTGGCCGCCGAGGGGAGCTCCCTCTACACGGGCTCCCTCGACGGCGCCTTCGCCGCGCTGAGCGGAGGCGCCGAGGCTGCGCCGCCCGTCTCGCCTGGCGTAGGCGCCGCCGCTGGCGCCGCTGGCGGCGGGGTCGGCGGGGCTGGCGGCGGGAGCGGCGGGAGCGGCGGGAGCGGCGGGGAACTCGGCGAGGGCGTCGGGGAGCTCGGCGAGGAGGTCGCCGTTGGTGGTGCCGTGGAGGAGGAGGGCGCCGCTGAGGTCGCGGGCCGCGCTGAGCGCTCCAGCGCCCCTCGGGCAAAGACCTGGTCGGCGGCGACGGCGGCCGGTGCGGCGGCGGCGAGCTTGCCCGGCGGGAGGGCGGGGCTGAGGGACGCCGAGGAGAGGGAGAGGAGGTGCCAGATGATGCTGGCTGGGTGCGACGACTGGCGCGGCGTCGTCCTCTCGCTCGCCTCGCGACTGGTGTCTATGCGCGAGCTACGCGCGGCCGAGCTGAGGCAGCAGCAGCGCGAGGGAGGGGAGGGAGGGGAGGGGGGGGGGGCGGGTCCCCTCGCTGGGGAGGGTGGCCCCGCGGGGCCGCCCCTGGGGCCGCCCGCCGCCACCAGCCCGCCCGCCGCCACCAGCCCGTGGGCGGCGGAGGACGTGCAGGCTTACCTCGATGAGCTGTACCGGCACGGCCTGAGGGAGGGGGCGGCCGGTTCGGCGGCAGAGGCTGCGTCGCCAGCTGAGCCGTACGATGGCGAGGCGGCGGCGGCGTTTGCGGCGCAGACGCTGAACGTGTTTGTGCCGATTGCGCACCGGCTGGGGATGTGGTACTTCAAGACGGAGCTCGAGGAGCTCTGCTTCGCCGTCTCCAAGCCGCAGGCGTTCCGCAAGCTCTCGAGCTCGCTGCAGCAGGCGCGCGCGCCCGCGTGCAGCTCTCGAGATGAGCTGAGATGAGCCGAGATGAGCCGAGATGAGCCGAGAGTACCAGCGTGCAGCCCTCGAGCGAGCGGGGAGAGAGCTGGTGGTGGAGGGTGAGTGGTGAGGTCTCGCCTGAAGGTGCACGCAGAGTACAGCTCGCTGCTCGAGGAGGCGGCGGCAAGGATCCGCGCCGCGCTAAAGGCAAAGGGAGCTCCCGCGCAAGCACGCCCCGCCCGGTCGCGTCCCGGCACATCGCCTGCTTCGCGCCCTCCCCTTAGGCGGACCCGATCCTGCGAACGCACACCGAGTCGATCCGCGTGCAGGTGCGGCTGCGGGGAGGAGGAGTCGCCGCACGGCTCGCGGCCGGCGTCGCCTCTCACACCTCCTCTTGGTCGCGATCGCAGGCGCGGATGAAGAGTGCGTACTCTGCGTGGTCCAAGATGCGTCGCAAGCAAGTCACGCTCACCGAGCTGCACGACGTGCTCGGGCTGCGCATCATCTTCAAGCCGTCGCAGAGTGGGCGTCTGCCCACGCCGCACCACTGGCAGCGGCAGGCGATCCTGTGCTACCGCGCGCTGGAGGTGGTGCACCGCGTCTACCTGCCCCTTCTCGGCCGGCGGATCAAGGACTACGTGGCGTGCCCAAAGCAGAACGGCTACCAGTCCCTCCACTCCTCGGTCCGGCTCGGCAGCTTACGCTCCGAGATCCAGGTGCGCACGACCGAGATGCACCGTTTTGCAGAGTTCGGAAAGGCGTCGCATTGGCTGTACAAGTCGGAGGAGTCGGACGGACTGGAGGACTGGCTCGCCGCCGCCGAGCGCTCGCGCCGCCGCCAGCAGCAGAAGGGCTCCCAAAGGGGCGGCCAGAAGGGCGCGCAGCCGTCGCGCGGCAAAGCGCAGCCGCAGGCGGCGAGGTTGCAGGGCGGGCCGCCCGCCGCGCAAGCCGCGCAGGCCGCGCAGGCCGCGCTTTCGCGCGCGGGGGGGAGGGTGGGCGCCGGCGGCGGCAGAGGCAGAGTGGGCGGCGGAGGCGAGCCGGCCGCGGCGGGCGGAGCCGAGGAGGGCGGGCTCGGTGTCGCGAGCCGCGGCGGCGGTGCGCCGGGCCGTGGCCGGGCTCGTTTGCGGGGCGGTGCGCCGGGCCCGTTCAACGGCTCCGCGGCAGGCTTCTCGCAGCTGGAGGACATGAGGCGGAGCCTGAGGGAGCGCAAGGTGTACGCGCTGGTGCGGAGCGGCGACGGCGGCGACGGCGGCTCGCAGGTGCTCGCGCTGCAGGCGGGCGCCAGACTCGAGGATGCGTTGCGCGTGCTGCGCGCGCGCCGCTCCGGCAGGGAGTCCCTCGCCCCGCTCGCCACCGCGACGGTCAACGGGCGCACCGTGCGGCGAGGCTACCGGATCCAGCACGGCGACGTCCTCGCCCTCGTCCCGTCTGCGCGGCTCAACTCGGCCACGTGGCTCGAGGGCGGTGGGACGAGCTGGCGCGACGCGGACGAGGGCGGCGGCGCCACGGGCGGCCTCGGCGACGCGCCGGGACGCGGCGGCGGCGCCGGCGGCCGCTTCGGCGGGCGGCGGGGCGACTCGAGCAGCATACCGTGGCCGTGGTCGCTCATCGACGATCCGGCGAGCAGCAGCAGCGGCGAGTGGTACCGCGAGGCGGAGGTCAAGCACAGCGCGATCGCGGTGCTCGCCCTCGCCAACTGGCTGCTGCTGTGGGCCTTGGGCGAGACGTCGCCCGCCGCGGAGCCGCTCTCGTCGCCGAGCACGCCGCTCGGCGCCATCGCGTGGGGGTCTCAGTTCTCGGCCGTCGCGCTGCTCGAGGCGTCCGTGCTGCACGTCTCGACTTCGCAGGCCATCGCGCGCCTCGCTCGCGAGGGGATGGACGAGGAGGACGAGGGCGAGGAGGGCGCCGCCGACTGGCGCTCGCTGCCGCGTTGGCTCCGCTTCCTTCCGCCGGCGGACGACCCCGCGTCGGTTGCGGTCTACGCGCTCTCGGAGCGGCTGCGGCCGCTCTCGCTCTGGCTCGGCCGGGTGAGCATGCTCTCGCTCGCCGCCCTCGCCCTCCGCGCCGACGCCTCGTCCGGGCTGCTGCACGAGTTTCTGGAGCGGCCCGGCCAGCCCCCGGCGGCAGAGCTGCTGCGCGAGGCGAGGGAGGGCGAGCGGGGGGAGGAGGCGAGTGGGCCCTTCGACGCGGCCGCATCCATGTACAGCGACGCTGCGATCGAGCCGCTTGCGATGGGGGTGGTAATGCAGGATGTGTGGCCCGATTGAGCATCGCGTCGGTGTGCGTGCCCCGGTTCCGCTGGCTTGGGCGAGGACTTGCTGTCGAGCGAATTGTGGCCGACTGTTGTTGTGTGCTGCCACTGAGACCAGTGACCTACTTGTTGTGTCGTGACATTTCGCGCCTGCTAACTGTGCGGAAAACACGGGGGCAAATCACTAATGTGTGGTAATTTGAGCCCCCTCTCGCCTCCGCCCTGGCTGAGCTGGCCGCTCTGCTCTCCCCGCAGTCCCCACACATGTGACATGACGAATAATAAGGAGCGAGCATAAGTGCCATTGCTGCCATGGTTAATGCATAGCAGCAATGCCAGCACCCGTACGGCTTTTTACAAGACGAGATCGTGAGCGGAAATGTACACACTCAAGTGTCAAGTCAAGACTCAAGCACTCAAACCCGGCGGCGCGGCGCGCTGCCCCCGGAGAGGGACGACGGGTATCGCGACGCGGCCCCAGCAAGCTGTACGCCACAGTTCCCCAGGGGACCGTGGCGACGACGGTCGCACCAGACTGGCTCGCGAACGAGCTGGCCGGGCGCGGCAAGATTTATGCGGCATGCCGCGACCGCATGGTCATGCACCTGATGACGGCCGCCGGCGCCTCGGCGCCGGCCGACGCCGTGTTCAGGTTCACGGCCGGCGAGGCGACAGACCGAGGACGACGACGAGGACACCGACCGCTCCGAGGAGTATTCCGACGACGGGAGGGTGTCCGACTTGTAGCTGGCCTCACCCATATGCATATCTTACCCCCTCTGCCCCCCCGTCCTCCCAGGCTAGATGGAGTAGTCACAGATAAGCCGGATGAAGATTCTGCCCCACACAGCCCCTTACCCCTTCATCCTCGCCTCCATGCTTGGTGTTTCTGAACATGCAGTCGTCCACGCTGTGGGGGTTGTGTGCGGGTTGTGTCTGGGAGGGGGAGGGAGTGGGGTGCAGGTTGCTCACCCACGGCACCGGGCCGGTGCTTGCACTTTGAATCAAGGACCGGCACGCCCCCCTCTTTGGGCCAAATCGCTGTCCAAAGTTCGAGTGATAGCCAAAGATACACTTGACTATATGTTTCAAAGATACACCTTTTAACATTACACCGGTGTAGCTTCGAAGTATATCTTCGAAGTTTTCGCGGTCCGTTAAGATACACCGCTTCGACCTGGAACCCGTGTATCTTCGTATGAAGATACACCGCTTCGACCTGGAACCCGAGCGCCTACGAAGATACACCGCTTCGACCTGGAACCCGAGCGCCGCCCCCCACTGGGGCCGAGGACAAGAGGCTGCCGTTTGCCGCTTGATTGTTCTTTTGCTTGTTGATCCACAAGAATTTAAACAAAACAACTCTCTCTCACAGCACACAGGCTCGACACAGGTGCGAACTGGCGCGTGCTAGTACTATCACCGGCACACCACCGGAGCCGCCTAAGTCCTTGCCGAATACTCTTCGCCCGCCGAACAAGGTCCTCGACCGGACACCCAGCAGGCCGCTCTGGCATGACTACCCAGCGTACCCGACCGGACATCCAGCAGTCCGGCGGCTTTCAACTCCGCCTTTCAGGATCGCGGCGCTCTCCCCGCTTCAGCAGCCTCGCCGGCGCAGTGCTCGGGCCAGGAGTCTACGTCACTGCTGTGCTGCAGAAGGCACTGAGCGATGCCCAGGGCCCATCCAACAGCCCCAACCCGGCGGGACAAGCGAGAGACATCGGTTACGTGGTGAGGAGTGGGCGGCTCGAGGTGGCAAGTCCTGTCCGGGCGCTCGTGACTGCCGCTGACAACCAGTGCGTGCACGCCTCATACGAGTGGAAGCTCGAGCGGCTAGATCCGCTCGATTTTCTCCTCGTGACTGGTGCATCAGCGACGAGAAAACCTGGCGGCCTCGCGCTTGAATCGCCGGTCTTCCAAATCCCGACGTGTGAAGGAGAGCTCGACTCGTGGATGTTGCGCATTTTCCCCAAAGGCAATGCTGAAAGTGGCGACCACCCAGGCGTGGGCCTCTACCTCGCTGTCCCCACCACCATCAATCCTGAGCCGCCGTACGACGAATTGTGCACCGAGCTTCAGCTTCGCTACCTCCACTTCACGCTGACTGTCGTCAACCAACGCGATCCCAGCAAGAGCATCGTGCGCAAGCTCCCGCACGCTGTGCTCGGTCGGTACATGCGTGACTGGGGCTTACGGGATATACTGCAGCGCTCAGCGCTCTTTTCACCGTTTTCTGACTTTGTTGTTGGTGGGACCCTTATCGTGCGTGTCGACGCAACGGTGCTGCCACTCGCTCTTCTCGAGGAGACGGTCGACAAGCGCGAAGCTGCACGGCGTGCCGCCGGGAGCGACGAGACCTGCGCGATATGTCTCGATCCTTTGGAAGAGGCCGCGGGCCGATTCCAACCTTTTCAGTGCCGCCATAGCTTCCATGCTCAGTGCTGTCCGCGCCAAGGTCAACACGAGCAGCGACGCTGTCCAGTCTGCCGAGCACCGCCCGGCTCGAGCCTTCCATTCCAAACAGCCAGTAGGCCCTGAGTGTGTGACCGAAACGCCTGAGTGTGTGACCGAAACGTGCCTCGGCGGGAGGGTGTTGACGGCCGGAGGCGCACATTTACAATCGGAAATCGGAGAAGAGGATCGCTAGCTCCTCCGAGCCAGGGTTCGTGATTTCACATGGAAACAGCGAATCGGTTTCACTTTCACTTTCCCTTCACATTTCATGTGAAACGAAATTTCACTTTTCCGAGCGAGTGTGAATGTGAATGATGACGGATGCTCCCCTTCTAGACTCCGCCTGGAGAGCGCGCTCCTGCTCTTAGAGTTGCCCCCCATCCTGGTGTGGGTAGTCTCGTAGTCAGCGAGTCGTGTTGTGCACTGACCACTGTGTGGGCAGAGTTTTACGAGCCTGTCATGTGGGGAAAACTTTGGAAGCCGGCCCAACATTTGGCCGCGAGAGCTCGCCGCCGCCGCGCCGCCGCCGCTGTTATCTGCCACCGGGAGGGCGGCGGCGGCGGTGCTCTGGGGGAGGCGGGGGCCCCCGGAGGCACCGTGCGCCGCGCAGCAGTGCGGAAACGGGGCTCCGGCTCCACTAGTCTCCACTAGCACCGACTTCCCGATTAAGCTAGGTTAATCAGAGGGCAGATTTGGAAAGATCTCGAGGAGTACATACAGATAGACCCTCCAACCATCAGAAAACTCCGACCTGATCGGTCGTACTGACCGCCGACAGATCACTCCAGACGGCAGACAGGCCGACGTCTGCACGCGGCCGGCCGGGCGAGAGGCTTGACACGATCCGACCCTGCGACCCTGACGCTGCTGCTCTAGCTATCAGACATGCACTGCTGACTGCTGCCACAATGTGCGACCTGTGCTGGCCCACTTGGCGGCCTTCCCGGTCAGTGGTGAGGCGCAGTTCAGAGCTGTCGATGGCGCGATGCCGCACTGGTCCCACATCGGTGACACGAGACCACCAAGTTTGCCGGTCCAAGAGAGAGGCACCGGCGCTCTCCTGAGAAGGTGCATGGTCCCTCTTGACTGCCCATGCGCGCGAGGCTGTGTAGGCATAGCCTCGAGAGTGCCAGCAGCCAATCCGAGGCAGTTTGTGACGCGCATTGCGTCAGAAGCGTGCACGCGCTGGAAGGACACCTTCCTACTGGCCGTACGATCAGGTCGTCACTGAATGCCGAAGACTAAGGCCGCGAGCTATGCAGGCGGTCAGTTGAGCAGCATGGCACGGTCAGCAGCGCCGAAAGGATGTCGCAAGGCGTGATAGCATGGCCGCAAGTCGCCGAATTCCCATGAAAACAAGTAAAAAATTGCGCGAAAAAGAATCTTATTGCCAAAAAATCGGCGCCTGCGGCGGGCTGAGGGACCCCATCTCCCCCCCGCATGGGTACCCCCTAGGGTCCTCGCCTCCCCCCAGAGCGGCGGTGTAGGGGCGGCGGCGAGCTCCCGGTTGCAAACACTCGCCTCACAGTCTAAGATGGCGGCTCGCGCCCCCATCCGCGCACCAGCGTGCCACTCTAGAGAGGTGCGCCCGTTTGCGTTTCGTGCGAAGAGTGCCGCACCCGAGATGCCGGGAGAATCGCCTCTCTTTCACACCTAGTCCTAGATCGTGGTACTACGCAACCAGTTTAGTACTACGATACGACACCGCTGATTATTGCGGCAGGCCGCTAGGCCGCGTGCACTGGTGAGGTACCTGCCGCTCTTCATTGAAACTACCACTGTGCCGCCGGAGGCCACCGCCGCATCCCTGGTGCGCCCCCGGGTTGCGCCATGCGTCGATCGACGCCCGGCTAGAAAAACACTCCGCAGTCCCCGTCGGAGTTTGCCCAGGCCCCTCGCGCCTGCCCGCTTTGACAGCGGCGCGGCGCGGTCGCGCCTCGCTCAGTGCTCCGCCCTCCCCTCCCTCAGGAGCACTCCACACTCCCCTCGCCGTGCATGATGCCCAAGTTCTCTTCCGGACGCGTCGGCCGGTCGGACGGCGGGATGGTCTTCTCGAGGCAAATCGAGACGGACCACTTCGGATCCGGCACCGGCTTGTACCACTCGTCCCTGCCGCCGGTGACGAACTTCCTCAAGTGGTTCGCGTACTCACCACACATCTCCTGCTTCTCCTCCGGGGCGGCCGTGGGGTGGCCGACCATGAACATGGGCACCGGCTGCATGCCGCACATCAGCGGCGTCCCGAGCCCCAGTGGCGCGAGCAAGTTCTGGTACGGGATTCCCGCGCCGGGGTTGGTCTCCGGGCCCGGGTGGCTGGCCATCCTCGTCGGGGGCCCCACGGTCGTCGAGATCATCCACTGCTTTCCCACCCACTTGGACTTGTTTGCCGGGTAGGAGTAGTGCCACACCAGGCATCGGTCGAACCACCCCTTGTGGATGGCGGGGACGGACCACCAATATATGGGGAACTGGTGAATGACGATGTCGCACCAATCCACCAGGTCGAGCTGCTCCTGCAAGTCTGGTGCGAAGGCTCCTGTGACATCGGCGGCGTGGCCTTGCTCGGTCTGGTAATCGAAGTTGTCGGTGTGCTTCAATTTCCCAGGGATGAAGTCCTTCTCCGATCCGACCGGGTTCCAGCCGATCTTGACGAGGTCGTCGACGATGACCGCATGGCCTTCCTCCTCCAGCGCCTTCTTGCCTGCCTCTACGAGCGTGTGGTTGAAGCTTTTGCCGACGTTGGGGTGGCTGACGATGATGAGCACCTTTTTCCTGCCCTCCGCCGCGGCGGGGAACGGCTTCGAGAAGTTCGCCTCGAACGCCATGTTTGAGCGGTCTCTCGAGGTTCTCGAGGTGGATATCCTTTGGCCGCGTTGGGAGCGAGAGGGGTCTAAAAAGGAGTCCTCAGAACGCTGAAATTTAAAAACTCAACCAACGGAGCTCGTCCGCTGCGCCAGCTCTTCGACTCTCGGCGAGTTGCGGTAGTGCTCGATGCTGCCGCGTAGCGGATGCTGCCGGGAACCCTAAAGATTTTTCGATGTGCACTTCGATTCTAAAAGAAAAGAAAGAAAGAAAGAAAACGGACAGGGAGGAATCGGAGTCGATAGATTCACACGGAATTCCTTTTAAATTTTTTGTGAGCCGCTGCGAATCTGAGAGAGAGAGAATCTGTCGGAAATCGTAAAGACTAAGAATGACGTCGCTACAATGTGCGCTCCACCTTCCATGACAATGTGCGCGGGACAGACACGGAGACAGGAGGAAGGGAGGGTGGCTCCTCTCTCCGAGAGTACAAGGGTGAGGTGGAACACGTTCACACCGGGGCGCCTTTTATCTCTTTACAATCCTTGTTGGGCGTTCGCCGATAAGTAAATCTCGGTGTATCTTGAATCTTCCGTCCGTCTAGATACACGGAGGAGTGTAACTTCTCTCATGACACGAACCTCCCTCCAGGGAACCTCCCAAAGGGGGGGGCGTGCCGGTCCTTGCTTTGAATGCGCCGTGGGGCTCCTGCCCGTGTCCGGGCGTGGAGTCTGTGGAGATGCGAGGGTCGCCCCCCCTTGCCCCCGCCCACCACCTTGGGTGTGTGTGGAGACGTTTACCTTACCTTACCTTGCCTACACCGCCAGCGCCACCGCGCAGGCTCCGGGGCGCACACTCGTCAGGAAACAAAAAAATAAGTAAACACGGTGGAAGGCGCCGCGCTAGCTCGCTGGCCCCTGCTCGTTGGCGAGAGCTCTGAGAGCGAGAGCCGAAAGCGAGACGGAGGCGGGAGAGCGGGACCGGGAGAGCGGGGAGAAGTTGCGTCTGGAACTCTTCACAGTCTTCTCTCTTCACTCTTGGTCTTTCATGAAGAGAGACCCGCTTTCTCACGAGATAGAACATAGAGATTGGCCGCGCGCGGGCCGCGGCGGCGCAGCGCCTTTCATTTTTCTGGGTTTCGTGACGATTGAGCCGCCGTGAAGCGACGGTGATAAACGACAACACGAAGCGCAACCCATCCGTTGCAGAGCTGAACAGTGCAGTGCAGCAGCTGTGCTGGGGCGGGCTGCGGAACAGTAGATGGCGGGCGGTGGGACGCACTCGACTGTCGCGGACTGTACAGCAAGGAAAGGCCAGGCCGCGCGGGCTACGCCTTTCGATGGTCTAGTCGGCTGCGCGGTGGCGTGCCCGTCCGGCTGCCGCCGCCCCACCGCTGCCCATTCGAGTCCACCGGCTTGAGCACCTGGAAGGAGCAGACCAAGTTCTCGTCGACCCGCATCATCGCGCCCGAGTTGTCAAAGTCGCCTACGGCAGCGAAAGACCGACGGCTCCCGGGCGGCGGGCGGCGGTGCCGCGCTCGCAGCCGCCGGAGTCTGCGCCGCAATAGTTTGGCGCGGAGAAGACGGTGACGAGGCTCCGGTCGCCAAAGAACTCGTACCCATCTTCCACCACCTGAGGAAGGCGCAGCCGGGGACACGAGCTCAAGCGCCGGTCGCCGCGCGGCAGCTGCCGCCCGCCTGGCGCGGCGCCTGGTGCGCGCGCACGATCAGGTCGAGGTCGTTCCGCTCGAGGAAGGTGTGCACGCGGTCGGGTCCTAATCTCGGGCCACCTCGCGTCATCTCGCGCCATCTCGCGCCATCTCGGGTCATCTCGGGTCATCTCGGGTCATCTCGCGCCATCTCGCACCATCTCGCGTCATCTCGCGCCACAGACCGCGCCACAGAGGCAGACCATGGGAGGGTGCACGCACGCACGCAGCACGCGCGCAGCACGCGCGCAAGGCACACTAGGGCGGGAGGGCTGCGGCGGACCAAACGTGTACGAGACACCGCGGTCGTTCTCTCCCCAGCCCGTCACGCTGACGTCTGGGTCGGACCAGAGCAAGTCGCAGAGCAGGCCCGTGTCTGGCACCTGGGGAGATATAGGGGAGATATAGGGGAGATATAGGGGAGATGCAGGCCCGTGTCTGGCACCTGCGGGCGGCGCGCAGCTCCGCGGGTGGGGTGGCGAACAGGACGGAGCAAGCCGCGGGGGGCAGTCCCGTGCCCGATGCCTCGAGCGGCCGCTGCATCTCCCCCATATCTCCCCTGCATCTCCCCTGCATCTCCCCTGCATCTCCCCTGCATCTCCCCTACAGCCCCGATGCCTCGAGCGGCCGCTTCAGCGCCGAGATGTCGCTCGGCGTGACAAGGTTCGGCGAGAGACCGCCTAGCGACGGACGCGAGGGCGTGTCGGCGGACGTGTCGCGGACGTGTCGTGGGCGTGTCGTGGACGTGTCGGCGGACGTGTCGCGGACGTGTCGCGGACGTGTCGTGGGCGTGTCGTGGGCGTGTCGTGGGCGTGTCGTGGGCGTGTCGTGGGCGTGTCGTGGGCTGTGTCGTGGCTGTGCTCTGCTGTGCTGTGCTGTGCTGTGCTGTGCTGTGCTGTGCTGTGCTGTGCTGGTCTGTGCTGTGCTGTGCTGTGCTGTGCTGTGCTGTGCTGGTCTGGTTTGCTCGCCGTGGAGGCAAAAGATGCGCTGGTCGATGAGCGCGGCGAGGGGCAGCCAGTTGAAGAGCTCCTGTAGGGGTGATATGGGGGAGATGTGGGGGAGATGTGGAGGGAGATATGGGGGAGATATGGGGGAGATATAGGGGAGGTGGAGGGGAGATATGGGGAGCCTGGAACTGCTTTCACAGCTTGACCGAGATCTGGGGAGATGTGGGGAGATGTGGGGAGATATGGGGAGATGTGGGAGGGGGGCCTGGAACTGCTTCCACAGCTTGACCGAGTAGCGGCGCTTGCACTCGTCGTGGAAGCCGTACACGCGGTTGATTGCGGCGTGCCTGCGGGGAGGGGGGGTGGGGGGCAGGGGGTAAGAGGAGGGTCGTGGGGGTGTGCTGGATGCGGTTGAGTTGGGGCGTGCTCGTGGTTTCCGCGCAGCAACCAGATCTTGGAAGGGAAGGGGGCCGGGGGGGGGTTCCC